CTAATGTCAGTCAGTGCCTATGCCGAGAAACCCTGAGCCCGAGAGAGTAAGCCGTAAGTCAGAACTATCATGACCCAGTGGTCCTGAGGTTTCTGTAGTGGTGGTCTCGATAACAAGCAGAGTAGGTAGTGATTCCAGTGCTGGATCACCTGAATAGTTACCATGCGCCAAGCTCATAATCACAGCCACCCGTGCTGTTCGGCATCAGCAGGGTTGGTTTGCAGCCTCTTTGCGTGAAGAATGAAACACTTTCTCCTCCTTCCCACAACTTTTTTGTTGTAGATGCATTTTTTTCTGGTCATGGTCTTATCTTCTCAGTCTCTCACATTTTAATGGATCCAATTACAGGTTTAGTGCACGTTAGATAATAACACCCCCGGGAGGAACTGATGAGGCAAGTGGCCTGTGTGTCACCGAGGGTGTGCATCTGAAAGCATCCAGACAAACCGGCCTCAGACCCAGAACTTAGTCACTGGGCCAAGCTCCCCTGTGGCGGTGGTAGCTCAGAGCCTGGCCTTCCGTCTGTCCTCAAGTCCCTCAGTGCATTTTAAATGGAGCAGATTTCCAGTCTGTGGGTTCTGTGCCTGGCACAAGCTCCAGTCATGTGGGAAGTAAGCTCCTCAGTCAGGAAATGGCCTCCATGTCTGCAGAGCATTTCTTGATTGATGATTGGCTTAGGAGGCTGAGACTATTGTGGTTGGTGTTACTCTAGGCAGGTAGTCCTTGGTCCTATAAGAAAGTAGCCTGAGATAGCCTTGGGGGGCGGTAAGTCAGTAAACCCCTCTGTGACCTCTACATCAGTTCCTGACCCCTGGTTCCTGCCCTGACTTCCTTCCACGATGCAAGCTATAAGGCGAAATAAATACTTTCTTCTTTCTCCAAGCCTCTTTTTCTCATGGTGTCCATCACAGCAGGAGAGAGCAAACTCGGATTAGATTCTGTTATGTGCCAGTTTCCTTCGGAGCAGCTTCCTGGTCCTTGGGAGCAGCTTCCAGAGCTCCTGAGGTGTCTTACCCTGCATACCTATCCACTTTCCTCACCATGACCCTTCCCATACTGCTCTTCACTCTTCCACAGCAGTGAATTTGGCCCTGGCAAGGGACATTTTCTTGCCTCTTCTGCCTCTGTCATCAGCCAGCACCGCGTAGGCTTTGGTCCCTGAATCATGGGGCTATCACACTTCACAAGATGGGAGCCGGGCATGCATGCTGTCAGATTTGCTCAACAATATGAATTTGTATTTGAAAACAAGCTGGGGAATGGAGATAAATTACCGTCTTTATAAAATGCACAAATGAACGAGAAACTTGGAAAAAAATCTTTTTGTCTATGGAGAGTATGGCAGTGCCCTTATCCCAAGAGGGCATGCGCCACGCCTGCCCGTGGGCACTCACCTCCTAGTGTGGCATTTAATTTACGTTGTTAACCTGACTGGAGTAGTTAACACGCAGGGCATCAATGAAGCATACCTTTGTCTGTGCATGCCAGGGATCCCCCCATCCATCCCCAGCAACTGAGGGTGGAGGACCCATTGGAAAGCAGGTGGCACCATCCCCATAGACTAGAGTTCTCAGTAAATAAAACAGGAAGACGCGAAACCAGGTAAAAGCTGGAACAGCTGCCCCCTTCCATCCTTCCTGTTCCACCCAGATGTGGAACCCAGATGTGACCAGGCAGCCCTACATTCCGGCCACCATGCCTTTCACACCAGGATTGGTGTCACCTAAATGTTTCTTCTTTAATTACGTCTTGTCAGATCTTTACTATAAAAACGAGAAAAGTAATTCATGTCTATACGCCATATACTTTCACCTACACGTACATACATTTGATAAATTTAAATTTTATAATAAGCCTATTGAGAAATTAAAAATAGTAACTGAATAAACTAGGGTACTTATACTATACATTGTCCACCTTATCCTGTAAGTACTAACGGGAGGGTAATGCATGCTGCATGGATACACTGGACAGCAGAGGACAGTGAGACATCAGAGTACTCACTAGGGTGCTCAAAGCTTATGAACATTTCGTTTTCTGGCATTTGCCATGTAATAGTGTTGGACTGAAGTGGACTAAGTAAACCTAAACTACAGAAAATGAAATTACGGATAACAGAACGTAGCCAGGCAGTGGTGGCCGTCGATCCCAGCACTCGGAAGACAGAAGCAGTCTGCCTCTGTGAGCACCAGGCCAGCCTGGTCTACAGAGTGAGCTACAGGACAGCTAGGGCTGCACAGAGAAACCCGGTCTTGAAAAACACAAACAGCAACAACAAAGAGCAAATGAGAAACTGCTGTTGTGCGTGGGTTCATCCAGTCCAATGCGAATGTGGCATCATGTGTGCGTGAAGAGAGGAGATGTGCGTGCTTTGCTTTGGTGTGTCCAAGGCTTCGTCTGGAGTACCTTCTTTTCAGTCTGGCTGATGGGGCGTGCCTGTAATCCCAACACTGGAGAGGCTAGGGCAGTGTTACCATGAGTTAGTTCAGGGTTAGCCTAGGCTCCATAGTGAACAGCAGGACATCCAGAGCTGTCAGCAATGGCCCTGCCTAAAACCAAACCGAACCCACCCTCAAACAACAGCAACAGCAGAGCCTCCCCTCCCCCCCATCAGTCCTTGAGTCCCTTTGTGCAGATCTACTCTGTGCCTCACCCTTGTTTGAAACTTCTGTGTCAGGCATCATCATCCTCTACGTCCCGCCACCCCAGTCAACGTCTGAGGGACTCATTGTGAGCACCAACATCTAGGTTGAGGTGTTCTGAATTTGGAGCTAGGACATTGGGAATTCCTACATGCTGTGGTTCAGGGGAGGAAAGGGTTTATTTCATGTTACAGATGACAACCGGTGGCGGACATCAAGGCCGGAACTCAAGCGGTTACCTGATGTCAGGTCGTTTGCTGATCCAAACAGTGTTTACCCCGGCCAAGGAACTCACTTCACAGTCAGAGAAGGATCCCAGGGACCATGGAGGATGCTGCTTGCTAGCTGGCTCACAGGCCGTGCTCACGAAACTTTACAACAGGGATGGGGACCACTTGTCCAGGGAATGGCCCAGCCCCAGGGGGCCAACAATGAGGACAGCCCACACAGATGTGCCCACAGGCCAGTCTGATCTGGGCAACCCTCAGTTCAGACACTCAGGCCACTCTGGGCTATGTCAAGCTAACAGTCCCGGTCTCATTGCATGACTTGGTGCATAGTTTGGTCCCTTTGCTTAGGATATTGAGGTGATATTGAGGTCTCAGCATTTAAGAGCACGGACTGGGTTCAATTCCCATCACCCACAGACAGCTCACAACTGTCTGTAACTCCAGTTCCAGAGCTTCTGACACCCTCACAGAGACACACACATGCAGGCAAGACACCAATGAACACAAAATAAAAATTATGCATGAAAAAAAGAGACATTAGGTGACTTGTCCAAGGTCATTAGGGGACCAAGCAGCTGGGCTGTGATGTCACCCAGGCTTGTTTGTATTCTAGACCTGGGTCTTGTAAGTGGTCAGTTTTGTACCTCCTAGCAAGGAACCCCGTAGAGGAGTTAGAATATGTAGACCACCCTCTTACCCCTCCATTTCTGTTCACTGTCCTCCATTTCTATACTAAGCTTGTCAGGGCCTAGAAAAGTCACTGACACAGCCAACCCCCCTCAGTGACTACAGGGCTGCCAGTCAGCACTGACACTGTGTGGTAGGAAACACCCTGGCTTTGCTACTGAGCTTGTTCTGTGACAGATGTTTCCTCATGGGCCAAGCAAAGGTGTGGTGCAGTCTCTTCATTTCGGCCCGGCCTACACTTCTGCGACTGTGTTCGCCCTCCTTATCCGTGCTGTCTCTTCCTTTGTAGTAAAAACTCTTTACCCCGTTTTTACTTTCTCGCCAAGCTCCGGGACCTTGCCAACTCCCTCTGGGCTCGGCAGCCCAGCCTGCCAGTGCCTCCCTCTCCTGCTCATCCGATCTCCGCCCCTCCCCCACCCCTTCTGTGCCCAAGACTCTTTCCTCTCTCCCGTCCCGTCTAAGTGAGGATCCACTGCCTGGTCTTTCCTGTGCACATACATCGGCTCTGTGTGTCATACGAGGGCAGGTGAGAAACAGCTTCAATTACATCTGGGCCCTCTGTCTGGGGAGCAGGGTCAGAAGGCTGCTACCACGGGCTCTGAGGATGTACAGAGGGTAAAGCCTTGGCAGTGACTTAGGGAGATGTCACAGCACAGACATGAACCCCCTGATGGCCCGGCGAGAGGGAGGGAGGTTAGAAGCGCTGGAGGGAGGTTAGAAGCGCTGAAATGCCGGAACAAACCCTCTCACTAAGGGCTTGGTGCAGCTTCCCCTCCCTATTGGAGACCAGAAAGGTCCCAGGACATGGCTTCAAAAGGCAGAGCAGACTGGGTAAGAGGGAGAGCCTGGTTTCAGAGGTGGGGGAGAGTCAGAAACAGTGTCCTAACACTTAAAATTCTTTGCTTCTGCTTGAATAGATAAGAGCCTGGGGGTTGAGGCCACAGGGTGAATGGTCCTAGGAACCTATTGGGCATTTAAGGCTGTGTGTGTGTCAGGCCCTTCTGCTCCTCAGAGGAGCATATCATAGTCCCTCCTGTCCTGATCCCCTACCTGAGGGAGCTCTAGGGCCTAGGGAACGCTGAGAAAAGATGACCCTAAACGGAACCCAGCCAGGAGTTAGCAAAGGAGCCTAAGGCATTCAGGCAGAAATGGTGAGTGCCAGGAATTCAGATGCGCAGAGGACAAAACAGGAGAAGCCTTCTCCCTCCTTAGTCTAAGGGAGACACGTCAGCCTGAGCCCCGGCAGTCTCCGAGGTCCCGGGAGGGGGACGGGAAGCTGGGGACGGGCTCTAGGGCCCGGCGGCCGGGCCGGGGCGGGGTGGAGTGTAAGGTTACAGGGACCGGACTAGCGACCCTCCGGGGCAGCTCCGGCGGCCGCGAGCGCGGGGCGCTCTGGACCCGGCACGGGGTGGGGCGGGCGGGACTGGGAGGGGACCTGGGCATCCCTCCACTTCCCGAGCACAGGGGCGCCCCTCGCCGCGCCGCCCAGCCGCCATCCCCCAGCCGCCGCTCTGCCAAAGCCAGGATCGCCCCATGATCGCCCCATGCGGAGGGCAAAGTCGCGCCGAGGACCGTGTGAGCCTGTGCTGAGAGGTAACCGGATCCAGCCCGGGGCTCAGGGAGGGCTCCCCCGGCCTGGGCCGGGAGGTCTCGGTGCTTCCTCCCGGGAGCCCAGGCTGACATCAGCTCAGCTCCAGAGGTGAGGACTTAGGCGGCCAGATCGGCGCTGGGGCCTCTGAGTGTCCCGACAGGGATAAGACAAAAAGCCGAATCCGGTTCCGTGCCCCCCTCCGAGTGCCCAGCACCTACGGGGCGGATCCCCACGGGAGCCCGGGGACCGGCATCCGCGCGCGGGGCCCCCGACCCGGGACTGGCCTTTCCCGTGTGGCTGGCGGGAGGGTTGGCGGGTGCTGCTGCCCCGGCGCAGACAAAGGCGCGTGGGGCGCCCAGCCCGGACCCCAGGACGCGCCCTGGCCAGGAGGCTTGGGGGCCCCTCCGCCCTGCGCCTTCTTTGTTCTCCCCAAACAAGTTTCTTGCACAGATGGGGGGGTGGGGGGGTTGGATCCGGCTTTTCCCGGCCTGTTGGCACTGCCTTGAAAAAGAATCTGGTTTCCGGGAGGAAACGTAAACTTTCCAATGGGGAGTTGGTTGAACTTTCTTGGAACGTGACATTTGTGGCAGGCTGGAGAGTGACACATCGGCCCACGAGGGCCCTTGACAGCCCAGAGGGCTGGTACTGCTTCCTAGGGAGCCATGCTGGGGGATGAGGTCCCCTGCCCTCAGATCCTAGGCCTGTCCGCCCTCCCCCCAATCCTTTTTGTTTTTGGATAATGTTTGCCTTTCTGCCTTTGTCGTGTGTGTGTGTGTGTGTGTGTGTGTGTGTGTGTGTGTGTGTGTGTGTGTGTATTGTCTCTATAATCTGGACTGTAGTAGCTTCAGGACACAGGACTCCATCCCAAGGGCCTTGATTCTTAGATTTTGGATAGAATTTGGGGCCCTCTGCTTCCTGCTTCTGTCCACATGGTTCTCTCTCTCTTTCCTCTGAAGACTATTAAAAGTTTGCTTATAGAAAGTTCTTGGTGGTGGTGGAGGGTGCGATGTCTCAAAACAGTGCCAACTCGGCTCACCAGAAGCAAACAAGAGCAAACTAGGGGAATATTCAAACAGCTACAATTCCACAAGAAGCCTTTTCAGGGAGTGAAAAGTCAGGGCTTGAAGAAGGAATGCTCCGCTCCTGGCTTCCTGCTGCCAAAACTAGGCTGTGGATCCTGCCAGACCGCATTGAGATTCTCCCTGGCGCCGACCATATGGGGCCCAGGTCGGCGTTGCCCGGTCCAGCAGTGGCGCTTAAGGATCTCTGGGGTTCAGGATCTTGACGATCAAAGCGCTTGCTAGGGTCGTGCTCTGAACATCACATGGTTTTTCTCTAAGATGGTTTTTTATGAGAATAACGAGGAAACAGTACTTATGTTGGTCCGTGTGAAGGAAAGCAAAGATTTGAGCAGAAAGAAAAATCCGGGTATGGAACAGAGAGTTCTAAAGCCCTCTGACTCGGCGGGGTTTGTGGTGTATGCGTAGGTGGCGATTAGATTTTAGGTGAGCTGGTTTTTGTTTCGTCTTGCATGCCACATTTTTTCCCGATGAGGAGAACTTTGGTCCATCTAGAGGTGACAGGCAAGCAGGAAGGTGCCGTCCCTGCAGCCCCCCCCCCCCCGTTGAAAATAGACTCGTGTCTAGGTATTTCAAGTTCTGTTCAGAAGGTGTGGGCCAGCCTGCACTGAGGACACTGGGGGACGGAAGCTGTTAAGAGCGCACCTTTCCTCGACAGCTGCACATGGATGTAGAAACGTGAGTGAGTTTCTGGGAAGGTGCTCTGCTGAGAGAGTGGAGAGGGCCTCCTCCCAGCCAGCATGCCTGTCTGGAGCTTCCCTGGGTGGTCCTGTGCTCTGCCTGATGTCCACCCCCACCCGGAAGTGTGCCCGGAGAGGCCAGGAGGGAGACTGAACTAACGGGCTGGGGCAGGGGCTCTGCTGGGAGAACAGTTGCCAATGTGCATCCTGCAGGTGTGCTGCCGGTCTCCCGGGTACTAGGGAAGAGCTTTGGGGATGATGAAGCACCCACCGCAGGACACAGGCCTTAAAACACCAGCCTCAGATCAAGGGAAATGCTAGGGACCTGTTAACATTTCTAACTTACCAAAGTTCTCTCAAGAGACACTTGGCTGGGGTCTGTGTGTACCTGTGCGTATGGAAGCTCAGGCCAGGAATTTTGTAGTAGTTTTGAATGTTTTTGTTACCATCGGAGGCTATATTACCCAGAATTCAGTAGGGGCACAGAATCCTTGAAAAGCAAGAGGTGAGGGAGGAGTCAGGCCAGAGGATGTATTTGATGACAAAGTTTGCTAGGAATTGTCTGAGGTTATTGAGGTTTTATGTTTGTTTGCCTAGAGATTTGTTTAAAGTCCTGTTGGTTTGACTTTGCTTTGTCTTGGAGGAGTGGTCCTGTGTACAGCTGGCCATGGTGCACTGCTTTTTCTGGAAGGGAGTTGTTGGTACTCTTGGATGTTGTGCTGGTTTGGGTAGCAGGCTTCTGTCGCTTGCATTCACCCCAGGCTCTGGGCAGAACTCCCCGCTTCCCCAAGGGGCTCGGCATCAGGATGTTTTTGTTTGTTTGTTTTGTTGTGTTTTCCCCCTTCCTTTTTTAGGAGGAAGTAGAGAAGTAGGTGTTAGGGATTCGACCCTGTTAAGTGTCTGCGTGCAGCTTTTTAAGTGTTATGCTGTTGAGCATATCTGACTGTGGGTTTGGAGGTCTCCCTGGGCAGGCTGCAGCTTTGTCTCCGTTTCTGTTTGTCATCTCTTAAGTATGCCCGTAGTGTACTCAGCATTGACTTTCCATTTGAAATGGTGATAGCTTCAGAGGATGTTACAGAATATTAGTGAGGTCTAGCGGCTGGTGGCCATTGCATGGTCATGGCACCCTAGCAGAACAGAGGTGGCATGAACGTAATCCTCAGAGCCTAGCCAGGGGCCTTCAGATCGCATGCACATGTGTGACATGTGTGTACCGTGTTTGCACTTCCCATGAATCTAGTTCCACAGTCAAGATACAGAGCTAGTCCGGTTCTCGGGGTCCCTTCTTGCTTCCTGGCTATGGCGGCACCCGCTCCCTCACCCTATGCCTCCGTCCCTGAATCACAGTAACACCCTCTCACCTCACTCAGTTCTCTGTAACTCTGTCCCGCTTAAGGTAAACAAAGCCTTGAAGCACGGAACCTTTGAAATTGGCTCTTTACTCTGTACTGTTTCCATGAGAAAGCGTTTTGTTTGTATCGATGGTTTGTTCATTCTCATCGCCCAGTAATATTCCAAGGTCTGGATGCTCTGTGGTTTGGCCACTTATCTGTTAAAGGATCCCTAGGATGCTTTCAGTGTTTGCTTAGTACTGATAAGGTTTCTGTGGATGTTCGCAGACAGTTTTGTGTGGATATATTTCTTCACTGTTTCAGATAAATACCCAGGAGGCTAGATTCTATGTGTGTTGTTAATAAAAATAATTGCTGAAGTGTTCTTGAGTGGCCATTTCATTCTAGATTCCTCCCTGCCGTGTAAACACCTGGCTTTTCTGCACCCCGACCAGCATCTAGCAGGCCCTATGTGAGCTCACTGTGGTGTTAGTTTGCACTTCCTGAAGGCCTGCAGGCTTGTGTACCCTCTCTGCATATGCACTGTCTGCTTATCTCTTTGGGGAAAGATTACTTCGCTTCCTTCTGCTTCTTTCTTAATTGGGTGGGTTTCCCACCCCCAGTGGATTCTGAGCATCCTTAGCGTGCATAGCTGTGGCATTGCCTCTCCCACAATGGGGTTTGGGCCTTTCATTCTCTTTCTGGAAGCATTTTAAGAACCTTAGTCTGTAATTTTGGTCAAGTCCAATCAACTGACTCTTATTTTTTTCTCTTTATGCACGGAGCTTTTGCTGTTCATCCCTCTTGAAGATGTCTTGCCTAGGCCTGTGTCCCAAAGACTACCTATGCTTGCTTCTAGATGTAACGTTTACATTTTATGTTTAATTTGTAAATCATGTCTTTAGAATCTTTGAGTTTCAGTGTTGACTTTTATTCATTTTTACATGTATAGAAAAAATATTATTTATTGGGTGTGTATACGTATTGGTGTGTGTGTGTGTGTGTGCTTAGTGGTCCCTTTTCTGATCTCATGACCACGACCTCACACATATAAAGGCTGAAGTGTGGGATCTGGTCTCTGACTCGGCAATCTCCAAGCCTAGTCCCAAGTACTAGGACCACATGCCCCAAGGACTCCTGAACAGCGCATGAAGTGACAGCTTTGAAACACGGGTGGAAAGCTCATAATTCCATAGCACGGAGAATGTGTAAACTGTGAATGCATTGAGTTAGGATATATTTAAAAGAAGAGATTGATCCTTACCTCTGCCACTTCCTTCCTGTGCGTCCACAGGGAATTGGGTCTGCTGAACCCTCTGAGGTAGAGTGGGCTGAACGAAATAAGGCGTAGGTCCTTCTCAGCACAGTGCAGACACGCTGGAGGCCTGTGGCGAGCATGTGCCACCATTATTCTTAAAGAGTGCTGATGAGGAGGCTCACTGGGGGAGCCTGATGACCCGAGTTCAATCCTGGGGACACACATGGTGGCAGAAGGGAACACGGAAGATGTCATGTGACCTGCACACGGATGTGGCGGCATGTGCCTTGCTCCCCCGCCCCCATGAAATAAATATAATAAAAAATGTGCAGAAACAGTAGGCAAGCAAACTGCTTCGTAATTTTAAGTGTGCTCTCATGTGAACCTTACAGAAACCCACCCTCCTTCGGCTTGGGGCACTCCTTCAAACAACACATACGATTGATCCTGTGGTCTCGGAAGTGAGGATGCTGTATTCACAGGGTGTAGAACAGGCCTTTTCCTTTTTAGTGAAAGATACCCTTTCTGTGCTGACCACAGCAGGTGGCAGGATGTATGGCTGCTTCCCAAGGCTGAGTGGCCAGGATGTCATCCGACCCAACCCTCCTGACCTCCGGCTGTGTCCCCCCCCACCCCAGTGACCTCCTAATTTTG